TCAGACCCATGGTCACGTACGCAGCAGTCATACTGCACAAAAACAGCTGTAGCGTATAGAACAGCTAGCCCGTTTGAGCATAAGCACCACAGCTACGTGTTGCGCCTCTCCACTTGATGGTGAAGAATCAGGCGATGGGGAGCGCTACACCGAACCAAGAGATTTAAACCGGGAACATAGTAGGAGACCTAGGTACTGGACAGGCATATGAAACGGCTGAACACATTCTATGCGAATGAGATGCTAAATGACCTCGGCGGGCACAAGCTGAATCCGCACGATATAGGAAAACTACACCTCAGAACAATAATTAGCTTCTTCAATCGGCTAAAACTACTTCAAAATGAGTAAGGGCAACATCCTTAGAGGATTAGGTGCTTGAAGACTAGACTGCCTTACCCTCACACACAATACAATAACAAAATATATAAAAATTTGGCAAAAAAAAACAAAAGCTATGTTTAAAGACAAAATGTAACTTACCTCCAATTAGTAAGACAGCTATTTAAAAATTAACGATAATAATACGACAACAGTTTAGAAGTAAATTGTTTCAAACTCCAAATGCATATAGCATCCACTTACGTATTCAACAAATCCAATTTATATCCTCCAAAATAGGAAAACTACTATTTAAACTCGATCCAACATTAACTCCAGAATTACACAAAATCCGGTTAATCGTCAGAAGGTAAAAAGTTTTTAATTAAATCGACATTGAATTCCAGTGGCGTATCAAACTTACGTTTTTTTAAACGGAACACCTAATATTTTATTAATTGTTTATTACTGATTTGGAACGTACTTGAAAAACACTTATTTTTTTTATGTAACATGTTATACCCCCATGGGCGGATTGGGTACTTATGGGCCAGGTGGAATTGCATAGGTTACGGGCCATGGCGGGGGGGGGGGGGGGGCAGCTCTGCGGTGCACCACAGAAACATTTCTTGTTCCATTTTAAAGTATTCCTTTCTTGAAAATCAATTAGAATATAGTTTTTTTTATTGTAGCTGATAATTAAAAGAATTAAAAGTAACAAAATATACGTAATCCGAACGAGGCGCGTCGCCTATAATTGTGTTTCAGCACTTTCAAAATACGACAAAAAGTTATAAATTCATTGTAGAATTTTTTAATGAACAACCTAACATCAACCCCAATGAGAGAAACATGTTAATAATTTAATAACAGTGCAAGAAACTAAATACAGCACAGACTTATAAATTTCCAACGGGACAATGTGACCTACAGGCCAGGTGGCAATCGGCACCCGCCCCCCGGGCCAGTCCGCCCCTGTATACCCCTAACTTTAACCATTTCGCTGTTATAACCTTTTTTCGTCAAAATTTGACAGTTTTTCGAAATTTCTTGTACGAAACTAGATCGCGCAGGCTAAGTTTTTGATTGAGGCGCAGGGGAAGACCTCTTCCACAGTCACATAATTTTTTAGGTACTTTATAAAAAAAAATTAAATTTTTAATTGACAGCGAAATCGTTAAAGTTAGGAGTATAACATGTTAGATTAAAAAAAAATAAGTATTTTTCAAATATGTTCCAAATCAGTAATAAAATATGGGGCATTCCATTTTACAAAATGCAAGTATGATACGCCACTGGAATACAACACGCCCCTGGTATTCAAAAATATTTTAGAAACATGCCGGCGGTGATTGCGTATAATTTTGCGATATCTTTTATAGTAAAGGAATTATGATCCGAGGGATCTTTGATGCTACACCCTGTTTAATTGAAAACCACAGTGATATCATATCCAAAAACGTGTACTCTTTAAGAATATACAGGGTGATTCCTATAGTACCTGCCACCGTTTGGGAGCGTGTAGGTGGTGCGTAGGGGAGTATTTTGATATAGGACACTTGGGGTCGGAAATCTAAAATAAGGGTGTCAGAGCCAAATTTACCTTCTGGAATTTCGCGCCTGTAGGTAGGCAACCCAACCGGCCGGCGGTGCACACGGAGCGATCTCAGGCGGCGATGTGTGGCTGACACTTGATCAGAATTTTGTTTAAACCCACGAAATCCCGTCTGCAACGACGCGTATCAAGTGAATAAACACTATGGCAATAGTATAATAATAGTTGGCTAGATGTAGGAAGTGCATTGAGAACAACGGTGGCCACGTTGAACACTTGTAAACGTTATTGCTTTTGACTGTCGTTTTCCCTCCTTCCCTCCCATGTCGCTTCCTCGCGCTAACTCGCTCTGCATCGCTCCGCGCGAAACGTCGGTCGGTTGGGTTGCCTACATACAGGCGTGAAATTCCAGAAGATAAATTTGGTTCTGGCGCCCTTATTTTAGATTTCCGACCCCAAGTGTCCTATATCAAAATACTCCCCTAGGCACCCCCTATACGCTCCCAAACGGTGGCAGGTACTATAGGAATCACCCTGTATACTAAAGGTGAAAACTAATGTCCGCTATTTAAACAAGCTGTAAATCAGCATATGCATGATTAAAGCGCATTTTTGGTAATACAGGTCAGTATTTTATTAGCGAAGTTTAAAATTATCGATCTCACGTGTAATTTTGGCTGCGTTAAATAATTAATTTTATTTAATTATAATTTAGGGTACGTCTTTATTTTGTAAAACAAATCACAAAGTAAATAATTAAGTTTTTATACTGGTAGCGCTATCTAACGGTAAAATTATAGCACCTCCGAAAACCATATCGAAATTATTTTCTTAAATTATCGATCTCACAAGTAATCTAACTCAAAATAGACTAGAGCCTGCACATCTACACTATAGCAGAAAGGTTTTAGTGAAAATTTGAAGTCTCTAGCTATTCTAGTGAGATCTTACCCGGACAGCCGGCCAGCCAGCCATAACGAATATAATAGCGCATTTTTTTAAAATATATGACCCCTTTGACCATACAGAAGTACGCCACTGGCAACAAATTCAAAGTTTTATAATTTTGGATACCAGAAAAACCTTCTTTTAAAAAATGGTATTTTGAAGATATATCAAGTGTTCCTGCGGCAACATGTTCACCCTGTATATTAATATGATTCTTTCTACGGTTATATCTTTTCTTTGAATCTTTCAGATTTTTCAAATACAGTAGAACCTCGATTATCCGAGCTAACGTGAGGGAGACGTACATAGGGTAACGTAAAACTCGGATAAATAATTATGATTTATTAATTAATAATTATATGCATTAGTCGCATTTCTACATGCATATATGTAAGGCTTTCCATTGCCACCTCGGATAATACGGAATTTTCTTAAGATTTATGAGGCTCGATTAACACGGAAGATCGGATAATCGGGGTTTTACTGTACTACAGATTTGCAAAAACCTTCTAGTTCTTTTGATTCTTCAGATTCTTCAAATTGTTCGGATACATCAGACATGAGATTCTTAATATTTTTTGAATTCTTTTGTTTTTTTCAAATGTTTCAGATTCTTATAATTTTATTGGCTGCCTTTCAGAACACTTGATTGTTAAATTCTTCAAGATCATAAGATTCTTCAGATCCTTGTTGACTTTCGAACTTTTCCGATTCATTCAACAAATCCACTGTCAGAAAATTGTTCAATTTTACAGATATTCGATTGAGATTATTAGTGCACAGAATATTCGGCACGTAAGCTACCTATCCCTCATTTAACTATTAGATGTCTTAATTTGCAACTACAGAGGGTTGCACAAGGATATGGCGAAAAGTCGATGTATCACATAGACCCCGAGCCGTAACGAGCGACGTAATTAAATATTTATTACGACAAATTCGTGAATTAAAGGACATCCTCTATAACTAGCGAGGACCGTCTCAAAGGACACATTAATGTGCCAAGAAGGTCGTCCTGACGCTGCCGTAAATTAGATACATTAATACGAAATTTCCGAAAAAAAGTAATTAGCCTCCCCGGCTTTAATTTAAATAAGAAACGTGACCCCCCGAGCCCTTCGGCTCTCAAGAGAAGTTATAATCCCGATCAGCGTGTCCTGCGATCGGTAAATTAGGAGCGTATGAAAGGAATACGTGACGTTTAAATTGGAATCCAGTAAAGCTAATTCCTTTCTCTCCAGATCGGAGCAAGTAATCCAATTCTGACACACAAAAACGTTTGATCGTAAAAAAATACGTTGGCAGAGGAGGCGCGGCGGCCCGCATTCCCAAGGGCCGACATTTCTCATACCTGCGGCCGAACTTCAATTTTTCATTCTCGGTTGTGCCCTAACTGGGTGTGATCACACAGCACAACAAAAGATCCTCCGTCTCTTATGCGCGGCCTAACTTTACAATAACGAAACGAAAAGAACAGGCTTAAATCCGTCGAGGAAATTACAAATTCACCGCTTTACCTTTTCTTATATAAATCTTTGATTTTAAATTAATTCACAACGCGGGCGGTTTTTAAGGGCGACCCGGTCACAAAAATGTCATAAATTAGTGGTGCGCATTCATATTTTTCGTTAGGGATTGTGGCTTACCTATAACAAGGGTAGGGTTTGTTTATGGTTTTGTCCAATATTAAAACTTACCTTTGAAAAAGTTGAAAAGCGCAGAAATCACCCCGAAAAGGATGGCCCCTTTTATCTACCACGTTTTGCGTATTAGGCGGCCGCTATACATTGGGGCGCCATGTTTGAGAGTTGATACGAAAATCGAGTATTGCACGAAATGCAAATTGCTTTTTGAGAATCATAATGTTTCTACGGAGCTGGGCATCATAATGAAGCGCCCTTTATTATGTCCCCATTGTGTTATAATGAGCATACGCATTTACGTGCTTAAATTACATAATTTTGTAAAAAGTCGGGAGAAATACGCGCACCTTCCACTCACGCAAAATTGTACAAATGAAGCTTTTTGTTAACTACCTAATACAAAGCAATCTTACATTGATGCATTCGTGTGAAATTAGCACCGGCCACCAATTCATTTTGCATAATTTCTTGTAAAATTAACCTTAACGATACATCAGAAATAAGTATGGAAAAATATGCATTTACCTTGTTAAATCATTTTCAGAGTCCTCTCATTTTGAAGTGGTCCAAGTTGTAGTTTTCTTTGAGCTGGAATTATAAATATTCAAAAAGTTGATCAATTCTTCTTCTTGGCGATCGATTTCGACTAAATGTGAACGTCAGGCCGTAGCTAAAAAATCGCAGTAAGCAAAATGGCCGTTTCACGTATGAAATCTAATGAATACCGTTCAATTTGGATAATTGATGGTGGATGTTTGAAATATTGTTTATAACTTATGGAGAATGATGTTAAACTGAAAAGAATAAGTTTAGTAACAAAACTGCATGTAATATTGGAACAAATACCTGTTAATGAATAAAATTAATGAAACGTGTCACATCGCAACTAATTTCAGGTTATGTCTATTGCCATTTGTACGTATACGTGCCATTTGTATGCGGCAGTGGCGTGTGTGTGGTATGGGTTTAAATCAATTAATTTTGGACGTAGTTAAGGTTGTTAGGGGTGTCTATTTGCTAAAGGAGGATGTTCAGACTTGGTATGATTTTTTTTTAGATATTAAAAGGGTGTATAAATTCATGAATATGTTGTTCTGGGAAATTGGTCTCATTACGTACAGGGTGTATTTTTGGAAGCTTTACTTAAACGTTTCTGGGAAAGTGAAATAGGTAGGTTTTTGAAAATCTATATTCAGGGATTACTCTGAAGCGACCGAATCGATGTCAATGGTGGCACTTACGAAAATATCAGAAGCACAAACAACTTCAGGTTTTCTAATTAAAATACCGGGTGTTGCTAAATGAATATTGGAATTATCTAAAGACTTCGCAATATTTTTATTGACTCACATTGAGGGAATGTGGAAATAGTATATTGAAAGACAAGTGTTACAATGCGACCTATTGTAATACGACTATTTTGTGGCACGAGTGGCGTAGCGAAGCGGAGCCACGAGTGTCCACAAGATATGAGTATTACAATAAAGCATTGTAACACGTGTTTTTCATACTATTTTTTCTATTTCGGGGCTTTAATTTAATTAAAAAGTAATTATGAAAAACTACAGGAAACTTAAGAATTAATATGTCTTAAGTTGGCAACACCATTTACGTTGACAAATTTTAAGTTGGCAGCGTAGATAAACACAACACTGACATTTGGAAACTTTAAATTCCGTGAATATGTAATTTTTTATTCGTAGATAATAGTATATTGAAAGACAAGTGTTACAATGCGACCTATTGTAATACGACTATTTTGTGGCACGAGTGGCGTAGCGAAGCGGAGCCACGAGTGTCCACAAGATAGGAGTATTACAATAAAGCATTGTAACCCGTGTTTTTCATACTATTTTTTCTATTTCGGGGCTTTAATTTAATTAAAAAGTAATTATCAAAAACTACAGGAAACTTTAGAATTAATATGTCTTAAGTTGGCAACACCATTTACGTTGACAAATTTTAAGTTGGCAGCGTAGATAAACACAACACTGACATTAACTTTAAATTCCGTGAATGTGTAATTTTTTATTCGTAGATAAATTTATTTATGGTGGATGTGTAAACTGCTGATTTGGAATGTATTAAGTTCTTCGTGTACCAAAAATCAAGGAAAACACGTAATTTGATTTCACATCGGATGATTTGACGTTGACGTCTTGACGTCTTGGCGAACTGCCAACTTAGAGATGAAAAGTTACCAAAAACAATGTTACAATGGAACTCATTGAAACACTGTTTTTGCCGAAAACAGTTGCACAAAATTCTCATTGTAACACCGAAATAGAAAAATTTATTTATGGTGGATGTGTAAACTGCTGATTTGGAATGTATTAAGTTCTTCGTGTACCAAAAATCAAGGAAAACACATAAATTTTACGTAATTTGATTTCACATCTGATGATTTGACGTTGACGTCTTGGCGAACTGCCAACTTAGAGATGAAAAGTTACCAAAAACAATGTTACAATGGGACTCATTGAAACACTGTTTTTGCCGAAAACAGTTGCACAAAATTCTCATTGTAACACCGAAATAGAAAAAGAACATTGTCATATTGCCAAAAGTTATTCTTTCGGATAGGGGCAGACTGGCTGAACTCGGATTACCCGTTCCGCAAACCTGGAGGGCTCGTGTGGTTTCCAGAGGGTCCCTAACAGAAAGGGGAACCAAGAGCTGACGTCAGCTTCTCCCTTGGTCAGCATAGCGCCATGTGCAGTGACAGACGGGCGGCGGTAAAGGCTTTGTCAGCAGACATGTTCCAATCGGCTATGGTGCTTGATTGCGGGCGAACTCTAGATAAATTAGGCGAGTCTAATAGGGATCTAGGTGCTAGCGCACTGCGGAGTATGGAGCAACAAAAGGGCGGACAAGCATACTCGTGAAGGCAGTGGTGGGGTCTGCGTCGGGCCCGAGCCTACCCTAGGAATTGCTCCTTCCATTGTCCAATGTCTCCAATTCCAGGCTCAGTCGCAACAAGCAACCAGACTCAGACAGTCCAGAGCCTTTTTAACAGGGCCCCTTGACAAATTTGGCTCTTCTAAGGATCTAAAACTGAATAGAAGCCAGATTAGGAAGATCACCGGTCTCCTTACGGGGCACTGGATGGTTAACTATCACCTGCATAATATTGGGTTTGTGGAGGAGCCCACGTCCAGGTTCTGTGGATGATGTCAGTTTCCATGGCATAACTTAACAGGTCGATGCGCGCCCCTTGCCATCGACCTGTTCCAGTTTTCCTGATTATTGGTTGATGTGCTTTCTCCCACACCACAGCCCCACCTTCAGCGTCGATTTTAGCTTTCATGGTTTGTTGACCGGGTAGATCTGGTCACAATTGGCGTATAGTTCCAGTAAATGTCGACTTAAAACACAACCCCATACCTGTCGCCAGTGTAATGTAAGTGGTTTTATTTATTTGCAATTAACTAGCAATAATTTATAACAGTCTTTAAATGTATTAATTTGTAACAGTAATTATTATTTATCACTTACAATTTATAACATAACACAAGCGCATCGAACTGAAATACGCTACAATTTGCTAATATAGTAAACGTTCTAGCGTAGAACGCTTCGGAATGTTCTACATTTTAGAACAAACACGTTTTTTTACCCGGCAGGATTGTGCATATCCGCCTTCGCTCTTTATCTCCGATGACTAATCTTTCGTGGCACCTCGATGTCTATCGGGATCTCTGGAATATTTGCTACAGTATTTGGGTACAAAAAATAAAACAGAACAACAAAAAATTATTTGTAAATTAATCATTTTATAGATTGGCAAAAATGTATAGTTATTTTGGATAATAATCTGCTGGCCTTCCTTTTTCCCCACCTTGAAAAATAACTGTCACCCCTGTTACTTCATCCTGGCTACGGGTCTGACCTGTTCTGGTTTTTTAAAATTATTTCATAACCAGACCACTCAAATTTGATGATGTGGATATTTCTGTAAATAGAATTTCATGCACTTTAAAATAATGTCGTGTCACTCTCTCGAATAAGGTGTAGGTACCTATGGGGTGTAGCTGGAGATGCGGAGATAAATGCTAAAACTAAGGTAAACCTTCCATTAAACTGCCTGCTATCTAAATAGATGTGTTTTTGATTTTTAATCAAAGTTATAAATTATAATAGGTGGATCATTGTGAAATGAAAGCCCTGTATAATATTATTGTGCAACTAAGCGAGCGCGCCACAAATGACCTACCTTTTCTCTCTTTACCTTTACCTTCAATTTTAGATCTTAATAAATTAATCATTAACTTTCTAAATGTTCACTTTTGAAAATGGCCTTCCCCTTGTAACTACCCCTATCAATCATGTGCTGATATCTTCATAATGGTAAAATAATAACAAGAGCGAAATTATATAGTCATTCATTTGATAGACCTTCAAAATCGGTTGTTGAGCATGATTATCGTTTCAATTATGGAATTATCCCAAACACCTGTTTGATTCTGTGACACTCTTAAGATCATATAAACATTGACATGATCTTTAGAATTATGTCGGCGTAAACAGTCAACAGTGCAATTAGAATTGTTGTGAACCTCCCTGTACACATAACACAATCCGCAAAGCCAACCTCGATCAGTGCATTCAGTGCAGCCGTGCAACAGCCACAATCAGCAAAAAGTTCGTGAACGGTAAGATCATGTTAACAATTTAAATTCGCGATCCTATTGTTTAACCATTGTTTAAAAGTATTTAAACAATGGTTTAACGTAAATTTCCGTGTAAATTATATCAATTCGTTAATTTGGCGACATTGTTTCCCTTCGTTGTGTGGTGTTGCGTCGGTTTACGATTAGGTTATTGGCGCGCGTTTCCGAGGGTAGTGCAAACATAAGTTGCCGCTTTATTGTAATTACTTAAAATCAATTGTTGTTGAACATTAAGCTGTGTTTGTGCAATAAACAAGGAGGAAGTGCGGGAAGTGCCAAAAGGAAAATACCGATGTTCGAGGAAAACCTCGAGGAAAGCTTTACAAGGTAGGTGGCGTAGGTCTGTTTTCTTAGTAAAATATTAGCGTTGAGCGTTGCTTGAGCTGAAATTGTTGATTTATTTATTTACCTAAAAATTTGCAATGCTTTTCAAATTGAAAAATCCCATCCTTGAGTTAATTAAGCATTTGTCTTTTAATGGCAATCTTAGGTTATTAGGTAGTAGGCCATCCTAAGACGATGACGTAGCAAGTATTAAGGTTGTACCAAGGTTGCCATCTGTAAAGAAGCGCGCGTCTTTTGAAAAAGTAAATCAGTGCACTGTGGATATTTACTCATTTTTTATAATTTAGAGGCGTAACTGAAAAACGTACAGATTATCTTGGAAAATTATCAGAAATCGCGGGGTCGTCCATTGGCGCTCTAAACGTTTTACTGCGTGTATTCCAGAAATGCGTGGTATTGCATCGCTAATGGCCGTTTGCACCGACAAATTTAAGCCGAGCTTAAAGGTAGGTTTCCATTACAACGTTGTGCGTTTTGCGTTGTGCGGCGCTCAAACCTCATTGGTCGAATTTGAAATTGTTGCGGCACGCGCGAATATTTTGCGTCGACACAAAAAGTTGAAATTTGTTAGAATATTTTGCGACAAAAAGACAAAGAAGTATCACTTTTAAAAAAAGATAAACCTCTTTAATTTTTATTAATGTTTATTTGTATCAAAATGAATAAAGAAATCGAATTTCTGATGATTAGCTATCTTTACGTTCGGTATAAAAGGCAAAATAAAAAACGCAGGCATAGATTTTGGGTCAGACCTATTTTTTCTCGAAGACATTTGTATGGAGATGGCAATCACTTAATAAAGGAAATTACTGCGGATCAAACCGAGGACTTCTATCAATACTTTCGGATGTCTCCAATGGAATTTGACAATCTTTTAAGTATTCTTAGTTCTACACTTGAAAAAATGTATTGGGTGCGGGAACCAATACCGGTGCAAAGTAGGTTGGCGATAACAATAAGGTAGCTAGAAGTTGAAATGTATGATGTATCAAATCTTAAATAAACACTTACGCACTAGATATTTGGCAACTGGCGATAGTATGGCATCACTATCATATGCATACAGATGCGGAAGGTCAACTATATCAAATATCATTAAGGAGTGTTTAGAAGCAATTTGGAACAAGCTGTATGACCATGTTTTTCCCAAACCATCACAAGACATGTGGAAAAACATTTCAAAAGGCTTCTATGAAAACTGGAACTTTCCAAATTGTATTGCAGCGATAGATGGAAAGCATGTTGTTATCGAGGTAACTTAAATCTTAATTTAAGGTATGGGTTCGTTATCAATACATTTTAATAGGCTCCACCACGTAGCGGCTCAACATTTTATAACTATAAAAATCAACACAGCCTAATTTTACTGGGTATGTGTGATGCAAACTACAAATTTATCGCAGTAGATATTGGTGCAGCTGGCCGTGCTAGTGACGGTGGTGTTTTTAAGGAATCAATTATAGGACAAAAGCTCGAGGAAGGAACGTTATGCCTTCCTCAACCCGAACAAGCTCCTTATGGAGGTTCTGTGTTGCCGTATGTAATTGTAGGGGATGAAGCATTTCAACTGACAACATACATGATGAGACCATTTCCTCGTAGAGGGAACTTAACTATGGAGAAAAAGATCTTTAATTATCGCTTAAGTAGGGCTAGGCGAGTCATTGAAAATGCCTTTGGTATTTTAGTTGCCAAATGGAGGATTTTAAAAAGGCCTATTAATACAACTTTAGATAATGCTGATAATATAGTCAAAGCAGCAGTATGTTTACATAATTACCTAAAGAAGGCAGAAGAATGTTTATCACATAATAAACGTATATATCACACAGTGAACCTAACCGATTCTCAAGATAAAATGGATGGATCATGGCGCATTGATTACCCCACAAACACTATGTATTCAATTGGAAATACAGGAAGTAATCGGCACAGATTGTTGGCAAGTGATGTAAGGCAGAGATTCGTTAATTATTTTATGAGAGAAGGTGCAGTCCAATGGCAGTGGGAAATGGTACAGAATGGCAGATTTTGAATAACGCATATGTGTATTTATTATTATAGGTATATTAAGTAACATAAACTGTAATGTACCTATATCTCTAATAATATGCAATCCCATTCCTATTTTCTATTTACATACAAAATATATTTCCACTACCGGTCTGTTTCTTCTAATGCTGCATGTAATAGTTGCATGTACTGCAATTGCAATGCAAATCGCTTCGATTGGTTTAATTTTCGTAAATTTAAACTTAAATATTTGCAAAAAAATGTAGTATCATCTTCAATTTCTGTTGTATCAATATTCTTATTTAACTTCTTAAGTATTGCCACTTCTAGATCCTCAGAGTGGCTGCTTTTGCCTAATAAATATTAATACCATAAAATGAAAAACCTAAACACAACAGAATCTTTACATACGTTTTGAGGTGGTCTTCTCATGACGTGTGTTTGTATTTTCTTGTCTTACATCCAAATTTGATTCATATTCGGAGCCACTAGGAGATGGTGTTTGAAGGGTGCAAAAAGTTCTAAAATTTGACATTACAATTTTGACCAATTATTAAAGTACCGCTTGCTTACTTTCTTTTCTCAGAAGGGTCATTTAAAAAAGACAACAAATGATAATATTTATACGGTCTTTCTTTAGGTTGTGTTGCTGATCCGCTAGGTACATAGGTTGTTTGGATCTTGCGGCTTTTATGATATCGGTCACGTATTGACCGCCAGCGCTTCTTCAGATCGTCTAATGGCATATAATCTGAAAGCTTAATGTCTAGTTAATGAGCAACAATTTAATACCACAAAAGTATACCACCCAAAATGGTTCCAATTTCTAACCATAAATCTTGTATTTTTCCTCTTGATCGCAAATGAATGGGTAGTCTATGATCATACAAAGCAGGCCTCTTTCCTACTTCACCGATTAACACTTCATCAATATCAAAGTCTCCTTCGTCACCATTGTCAGTTTGATCGTTGAGTGACTCAACGGTTTGATCGAATTCACTTTCTTGCGTTAACGTATGGTCCATTTCGGACATGTATACACATACATGTGTTGTACCAGGTTGGTAAATTTGGTTGCAAGTTTTACACAGGTACATAGTCATTGCCTAAAAAAGGTGTTATATTTATATGGGTAGGTACATAACCTATAACAGAGCATAAGTTTAATCATTGTTTAACAATGGTTTAATCAAACAGATATATCCTCACAACTTAAAAGTACATACACTCACTTTTTTTGTAGCCTCCATTGCTGAGAAAAATAAAATAAAAAACACAAAACAAAATTCCGGACAAAAACGCACAAACGCAGCGACGCACTTGTTTTTGTTTATGAACACATTGACGTTGTTGCGCCTGCGTTGGCGGTCGACGCACAACGTAAAAACGCTGTAATGGAAATTGGCCTTTATATATATGGTGGGTAGTTACAAAA